GTTTCAAGTATCATTAGTATGAATGCAGGTAGCTCAATATTGGTGGTTATCCTGATACTCTAATGGTCATTCATTCTCAAGTATAGAGGATTGATATATGTGGTGAGAGTAGGAGGAACAAACTAACCTTGTGAGTGTGGTAGGATGAAACACATTGGCAATGACTTTGTAAAGTAGTAGAGGCCACCACAAATGCATAACCCGCCATAGCTCGACATTCATTCTAAATCTAGATAGTTAATCTAGGTGTTTGTATATTAAGATGTTTGGTTTGATGCATGTTATATATGATTCATATATACCTTGTTCTAAATATTATATGACTTGTTTTGTATCTAGCTTACCCTTATGTTTGTGTGTTGTTTGTGCTTCAATTCTTGGCTATGATCATCTGGTGGGTGTGAGTAGAGGGTGATAAGGTGACAGTAGAACAAACTCTTGGTGAAGATGTTCCTGATGCGTAGATATTAGTAGCTTAGTATGTAGTAGTTTTATTTTGTTCTTCTAGTGGTGGAGACCATCACTCTTCTCTTGTATATAGTTTTGATACAACTATATTGTATAAAGTAATGGTTATTTTTATATGACTGTAAATCTTATTTTACACTCTTTTCTCTAACTGATCTTTTAATATTAAATTTGTAATGATTATTATATAGTTTCTTGCTATATTTTGGGATGTTAAAAAAATAAAAAATATAGTATAAAATAAATTAAATATATTTTTAATTAAATTTAACTTAATGAAATATAAATTAAATTAAATTTTATTTATTTATGATACCTAGATCAATTTATTTATAAATAAATATTAAATTATTTAATTAAATATTATTTATGAATATCTATTTAAAGTATCTATTTTTTGCCCGTAACAGTTGCTGAGCAGTGGATGAGACTCTTTTGATAAAGTTCTAAATAATGTAATATCACTGTCAATCTTTAGGAAGAGTCACACAACATAAGTATGTTCTTGTGAGTGTTAAAGTTGATATGATAAAGTTACATCTTTCACTAATAATATAAATGAAATGTTGTAATAATTGTGCTTTTTCATATACAAGATTGTAATATTGACTTCGTGGGCACACTATGGCTAGTTATTGCGGCTTCACAAATTTATGCACTAAAGGCCTAAGTTAATTTTTTATACTAGCATCAACCTTTAAGTTAATTTTTTATTTTGGCACCCTGATGGTTGATCTGAATAGTATTTCTAAGGTCTTAGTATCATATTAAAGTATTTTTTTACTTAAAAGAAATCAATTTATAATATTTAACAGAATATTTTATAATTATTTTTAAAGTATAAATTAGATTTAAATGTTAATTTTTTTTTCTTAATCAATTATATACAAATACATATAAAAGATATAAATAGAACATAACCTTCGATCTAAAATTTTAAAATAATAAATTTCTAAGTTATTTTACTTATATATTATCTATTTTATTCAATTTTAATCAATATAAAATTTTAAAATTCATTAGTCCTTTATAAGAACCGAAGTAATGTATAATTGAAACTAACTCGTATTTCATTAAAAGAAAAAATCACCATAAAACACGCATGTAATATTTGTAATTTTATATATTGTGAAACTGCTTCGTCTAAATTAATTTGAAAATTGAGGATTTTATAAGTCATGTATTTCACCTGAACTCTCTACATCGAACATTATAAAAAAAAAAAAAAACTATTGATGGGTCATCCTCCTATTTCTTTTTTCTCAATCAATTTTTAATTTATTTATAAGACATATTTAGTTAGACTTAATAGAAATTTAACGTCTACTCATCAAGGAATTAAAAATCAACTATTAATCAATTTTATAAATAAAATTTATAAAAAAATTTAATTAAATAATCAAAAGACATTAATTTTAACTTATCGTTACTAAAATATCTAGTTACCAACATACCTATTATCAATAAAATTCAAATGCAATTTTCTATAACTCTTAAATTAACGAGTGATAAAGATCTGTCATTAAAAAACAATTGCTATTAAAATAATTTCTTTAAAAAGAAAACGGATATGTTTACTTTTATAGCCATAATTAAAAAAAACAATATTTTGCATGAAAAACTGTATTATCTCTGTAATAACAACAAAATATTTTTTCTTTTATAAAAAGAATAAATTTTACTGAATTGTGATATTTTATAAAATTATTACTATTTAACTTCAATATATATATATATATATATATATATATATATATATATATATATATAAATTTATGCATATATGTGATTGGATTTTTTAACACAGCAATAAAAGTTAGAAAATATTTATATCTACTATTATATTAAAATGATTATGATAAATAAGAAGATGAGAAGAGTAATTAGATTTAAATTATTATTTGAGATCATTCTATTTATTGCGTGTAATAGTTTTTTTTTTTTAATATTGTGACCATGTATATGACATTATTAGGCTTAATATTCTTCTCTACATCAATTTTATTATGGTTATCGTCTATGATTATTATACGATTTTTTATTTACGTATATCATAATAGTTTTCTTAAAGTTTAATATTATAATAATTCTTATTTAGGTTAGATTTTTTCAAATGGTTCTTTTCTTTTCTTAATTGAATTTCTAAAAGTGCAAAATCAATGCAATTAAGTCTCTTGTTAAATTGGGTTAACTAGTTAAAATGAAACTGAATTGTTACTTACATGGACTGATATGGAATATATGACACATTTAACATAAGTTTCATAGAATATATATAATTAAAAATAAATAAATAAAAAGATTTATGAGAATTGAATTTAGAGATAACGAAATTAGGGTTCATGAAAACGAAATTGGAAACGACGTTGGGAAGGATTAGAGATTGGAGATGCAACAATTTTAGGATTCACAAAATGCTCGACAAAGTGTCATCCTCGCACCACCGTGGACCACCATGGACAAATCATGACATCGCGAAACAAACAACATGTAAAAGAAAAGGGTTGCATTGTTGAGAAAAGAAAGTGGCAAAAATGAATGGTAAGGGTGGAAAGTGTGGTTGGAAGAGTGAAGAAGGGATGAAAGAGAAGCAACAGTGTTGTGAAAGAAGAAAATATGATGAAGTTAGGGTTGAAAGAAGAGAGAAAGTGGTGAATGAGTTTGTTCTGTGCAAAAAAAAATGTGATGAATATGATTTAATCAATTAGTATATAATTACTTTACTAGTGTCAATCTAACTATATTAATTCAAAAAGGTTGGTTTAAAAACGTAAAAGATCATTGAAATCAGATAAGCTAAGTTCCTTATGAACAAATAAAAAATCTATCAGCTTCTTCTGGGTGTCAATTCCAACATTCTCGTGCCATCAAATCTCCAAAAACCTATAGTGAACTCAGGCAAGCCACGAACCACCTGCATCTCATCTCCCAAATTGCAAACTCCATAGAACTTGCAACCAAAGAAATCATTAACTCTAAATCGCAGAAAAATCCTTAATCCCAAGTCACAGAAAACTAAGACACAAATCAAGTTGTTTCATGACCACTACCTTCATAGCAACCCGCAAGCCACCAAATTACGAAACCCTAATTTTTGCCAGAGAAGAAATCACGCCTCCCAATTTCAATTTTTATCAGAAACCCTAAAACAACCATATGAAGAACCCTAATTTTTTAGTTCCCAATTTCAATTTTTATTCGAAACTTATTTCTTTAATTGTTTAATGTATCATATTTTACAGATCATGTCGTCCATTTACCACATAATTTAGTGAAATCAGGTGATAACAACAACTCATTCAAATTTTAATTTTGTTAACCTAATTTAAACCTTTTTGTTAATCATAAACTATTATCACTTATTCTTATTTTCAAGTATAGTCATATTTGTATTAATTATAACTTTTTGGTATTGATAAATAACTGGTATTATAGTTAATATTACTTTTATTTCTATAAATCGGTTTTTATCATATTAATCGATTAACAATTAAACCTACTTAATTAAATACAAATAAGTAATTTTCAAAAAAACACTAATCTAATTGATTAAAATTTAGACCTAATCAATTAAATGCAAATCTAATTAATTATATCAATTATATTTTAGATCTAATTGATTAGACGTGAATCATGCCTTCTTCTTAACTTTTTACTACACTGATATAAATCGATTAAATATTTATCTTAATTGATTAATTGTGAATTATATCCTATTTTTAAGCTTTTATAATAAAAGGAAAAAATATTTAATCATTTAAAAACATTGTTTTAAGCCATTACCTAGTAATTGTTTCAAGTCATTATTTAGTTCAATTGCGAAAATATTATCTTTCAATAGAAGAAAATTCTTTAACAAACTTTTTACAATTTTAACTAAAGACACGTATTGGACATCATTAAAAAAAATCTTCCGACCTCGTGTGAGCTAACAAATTAATGGATAAATAAACTATAATCAACAATAATAGAATATATTCTATAAGATTCACACAAAATTTATGTATTATTCATGAAAATCACTTATTCATTAACTTTTCAATTTTTAAATTCGATTCTATAACAATTACGGTTGCCGTAGATATAGTTATAATCAATTCAGGTTTGCCAACTAAAGAATAAATTACATTTTCTTCTCAAATTACATTTATTGTATAGAAAACATTACAAAAATAAAGGAAAAAACTCCAAATATATGTGAAAAATATATTAGTATTTTTAGTAAGTTATATCCTGTTACACCAAACCAACTATAAATGTTTACTGCATTATTTTCCAAGTCTTGAATTTAAATTGACAAAAGGATAGATAAACTAGACCACTTTCCAACTCTCTCAATACAGAATACAACACTTACAATCATACAAATAAGACTTCTAAAATAAAAATAAAACTATATCCACACGTTATTATTATTATTTGACGAAAATATAATTACTAATCATTATTATTAATAATATTAAGTGTAACCATCTTTGCCACATAAGTGGCAATCTAATGAAATGCACGCCTATAAAATGCTTATATTTTAAAAATTAGGAAAAATGAAATAACAAATCTCTATCCATGTTTCTCTGTATCTGTACTTGAAATCTAGAACTGCAGAGAATCCTTTCATTTTTGTTTCCCTCCACAGATCTCTAAAGTTCATTCTCATCAAACCCTAATTTCGGGTTGATTCTAACTCCCTCGTTATTTATTCATCACCCAACCCGTTTTTCCGATTTTCTGCTATCAATTCTTCTATTTAAACTTCAAAATCTGGTCTGATCGATGATTCTGGAACCTTCATGAGTCTCCCTCTTCGTCATGGGCCACCACCATCCTTACCATGCCTGAGCTGCGTACCCGAACTCGCAGAAACCAGCTCGTAGACAACGCAAACGCTATCCCGATCATTCAGCCAGCCTCGCCGGCGACCGCCAGAGCTCGACGGAGGAAGACATCCGCCGCGGCTTCCCGAACGCGGAGGAATCGGAGACAGAACGATGCGATCGCCGCCGCCGATGAAATCGTGAACGATTACGCTGGTGCTGCTTGAGGAGCCAGAAATAGAAATAGAAATTTAAAATACAAGCTAGGAGAGAAAGAGAATAACTATAATAAAATTTCGGTTGGTTTTTGAAGAGGAAGACATGGATGAAGACGATAGCCGTGGCCGTAGCGCAGATAAGGTTCCGGGAGCTGAAGATGAAGGCAGCACTGCCCCTCTTCCGGAGAAGGTGATTTTAGTTTCACATATTCTCTCTGTAGTTTGAGTTCTGGAAAAATGTACAAGCATAACTTTATCTGCTCAGTGTTCTGCTTATATGTCTTGTTTCCCTGTGTTGTTTCTTTTCCGTTGTGGAACGCTGAACATCTTACAGCAGCTTACATGCTAAATAGTCCTATGTCGCTCCACGGAGCTCAAGTTTGGTTCTTAGATTTTTTTTATTATCGCTGTTTCTAATCTCTGGATGAATGAAATTTAAACCTAAGGTACTGATATGGAATAATTTTTGTATACATTGGAAATTAATCTTTTGTGTATTTTTGTTTGCAACAGGTTCAAGTTGGTGGTTCTCCTTTGTATAGAACTGAGAGAAAACTTGGGAAGGGAGGATTTGGGCAAGTGTATGTTGGTCGGCGGATAGGAATTACGAATTCTAGCGAACGGACTGGTGCCGGTGCTGTTGAGGTATGGTCTTAGCATGTGAACTTTGGTTTACAATTGTATTTGAATGATACATATTGGATTTGTTGCTATCCACTCGTTGCTCTAATGACTGTAGGTAGCTTTAAAATTTGAGCATAGAAGCAGCAAGGGGTGCAACTATGGACCACCATATGAGTGGCAGGTTTACAAGTGAGTTGAACGTTTTTCTTCCTACGTGATGGAGTTGCTCTGCTGTGGTCTCACTTTATATTGGATATTAAGTGCTAACTTTGCTGTGATTATGTCTTGTAGTGCATTAGGCGGTAGTCATGGTGTTCCACGAGTACATTTCAAGGGACGGCAAGGTGACTACTATATTATGGTATGTGTTCATGAATTTTTAACTGATGGATGGAGGCTTGTGGTTGTCTCTAAATGATTTTATAACTAAACTTTACATACAGGTAATGGATATGCTTGGTCCCAGTCTGTGGGATGTTTGGAATAACAACTCTCACACGTGAGTATCTATGTGAAATATTGAAGTGTAATTAATCTTTTTTCTTAATGTTGGAACTTTTATTTAATAGCTAACTATGTTTCTTTTTCTTTTTTGGATTTCAGCATGTCTACTGAAATGGTAGCATGTATTGCAATTGAGGCTATCTCCATATTAGAGAAGATGCATTCTAGAGGGTGATGCTCCTTTTCCTGATTATGTTTATGATTTGTTTCTGGTTTTTATTTTCATTGACATGTTGGTCAGTTCAGAATGCTTCCCCACTGATGTGACCATATCATGTTAAATTTTGTTTATCATGTTAGAAAACATGGTCAATAATTTGTTACCTTTTGGTGACATGATGATGGAGAAACATATCTTATTTCTATGGATGAGCAGCATTTATATTTATAAAACGATTTGGGATTTATAAAATTTGGATCTGTTTGAACTTTTGATTAGGAACTCTGGATTTTATTTTCTTTTGTATATGCTTGTATTGTTTAACTGAAATGATTATTGAGTATATTTTTGTTTCAAGAACATTTCATCATTCTCTGTCATTATTGCAGATATGTGCATGGTGATGTAAAGCCTGAGAATTTTTTGCTTGGACCCCCAGGAACTCCAGATGAAAAGAAATTGTTTCTGGTTGATCTTGGGTTAGGTAAGTACACTACATTACCCTTGATATGTCCATTGTCAATGAACATGTCTAATTTCTCATAATTTTGATGCTCATATGGCACTCCCAATTCATCTACCCAGCAACTCGGTGGCGTGATAATTCAACTGGCCTTCATGTTGAATATGATCAGCGTCCAGATGTTTTTAGGTAAATTATTTGTTAAAAATCTACAAACCTTAGTCAACATGCAGGTTTTGAATGATTGTGAGCTATATTCTTGCCACAGGGGCACAGTTCGTTATGCTAGTGTGCATGCTCATCTTGGTAGAACAGGTAGCAGGAGAGATGACTTGGAATCTCTTGCTTACACTCTTGTCTTCCTTCTTCGGGGTCGGCTTCCCTGGCAAGGATATCAGGTTATGACTGTTTCAAATATAATCATTTTAGTACCGATACCTGATGGTAAATGAAAATATGATTCTTATGAAGTTTGTTGTTACAGGGGGAAAATAAAGGGTTTCTTGTCTGCAAAAAAAAGATGGCCACCTCTCCAGAAACATTGTGTTGCTTTTGTCCTCAACCTTTCCGGCAGTTTGTTGAATATGTAGTGAATTTGAAGTTTGATGAAGAACCAAATTATGCAAAATATATATCCCTCTTTGATGGAATCGTGGGCCCAAATCCAGATATCAGGCCAATAAACACCGAGGGTGCTCAGAAGGTACTTCATGATATTATTACTTTAGAATTTACTATTTATTGTTTACACTTTTAAATTCTGACTCTTACTGCTCGTTTTGGGCTATTATTGTGTAGCTTATATGTCAGGTTGGCCATAAGAGGGGGCGTTTGACCATGGAAGATGATGATGATGAACAGCCTAAAAAAAAGGTTCGAATGGGAATGCCTGCTACACAGTGGATTAGTGTTTACAATGCTCGTCGACCAATGAAGCAAAGGTTTTCGTCTGATGTTGCATACGTTTTTTCCAGTGATTTTAAAACGTTGGAGCCTAAAGATATATCTTTTGGTTTAGGTATCATTATAATGTAGCTGATGTGCGGTTAGCCCAACACATTGATAAAGGGAATGAAGATGGTTTATTTATCAGCAGTGTGGCTTCTTGTACTAATCTTTGGGCACTCATTATGGATGCTGGCACTGGTTTCACTGCACAAGTTTATGAACTCTCTTCCTGCTTTCTTCATAAGGTTAGCTATTTTATGTTTCAGCAGTGGCATTACTGTGATGCTGGTGATATCATAGTATCATGTTTGTAAACTATATAGTTTTATCTGTATTATGTTTTACTATTTTTGTTTTGAACTTAATATAAACTGACAAATTCATGTATCTGTTTTAATAGGAATGGATTATGGAACAATGGGAAAATAATTATTATATTAGTGCCATAGCCGGAGCTCATAATGGATGCTCATTGGTTGTAATGTCTAAAGGTAAATATCCCTGAAGTCTTTGTTCTGTGTATTGTGTATCTGGGATCTGCTCCACTTGACTTTTGATGATCCCTTTTGCACATTTTGACTGGCTGTTTAAGCTGTCTTCTTATTTTAATTGTTTGATGAATCCTTTTAGGTACCCAGTACGTACAACAATCCTATAAAGTCAGTGATTCGTTTCCGTTTAAATGGATCAACAAAAAATGGAGAGAAGGATTTTATGTAACTGCTATGGCCACTGCTGGCACTAGATGGGCAATTGTTATGTCACGTGGGGCTGGTTATTCTGATCAGGTCCTGCATTTTAGAAAGTCCTTTGTGATTTAGAATTGTGGCACTGAAGAAAGTAATCTAATTTATATATATATATCTCTCTCTGTGCTCAAAACCAGGTTGTGGAACTTGATTTCTTGTATCCCAGTGAAGGTATTCATCGAAGGTGGGATAATGGTTATCGCATCACCTCAACTGCTGCAACATGGGACCAAGCTGCTTTTGTTCTTAGTGTCCCAAGAAGAAAACCAACTGATGAAACTCAGGAGACACTCCGCACATCTGCTTTTCCTAGTGCTCATGTTAAGGTAAACAGTGCATCTAATTTTCCTTTATTCATTAACAATTCTATGATCATTCTTGTTGACATTTGGTGTTTTGTTTCTGCAGGATAAATGGGCAAAGAATCTCTATATTGCATCTATTTGCTATGGGAGAACAGTGTCATAACCTGCTGAAATTGAGATTTCTGGCTGAATTCTGATCACTGGCCCAAACCTGCTTCCTCTTACTTGTAGTTGGGAACTGAAGATGCTTTCTGACCAATTTTCTGAACAATGCAGTTCAGTATTAATGTATGCTAAACTTACTTTATGGTCACCATCACATATCATCATGCAAAACCTGTGCACTGTTTTTCAGCTGTCAAAAATACTTGAGTTGTGAGTAAAATTAGATTGTCAATCGGGAAGAGTCTTTTGATATAAAGTTTGTACAGATCTGAACAGTAATTATTAATATGTTGAAGGCATGTGCACAGGTTAGGCTTTTGTTTACTGGTGGTTTTTAACAAATATGAACTTAGATTTTCCAGTGGGAACTGGACATTTAAGCTTTGCACCCTTGTACTTGGCCCTCTTTATCCTAGTCACACTTTTGACTTAAATTTAATTCTGGGCTTCTTCATGTCTGAATTTGACAAATAGAAAGTTGTACATTTTGGCAAATGATTGTAATTATTTAATCATTGTCATTATTATTATTGCTGCTGCTTTTTTCTATTTGTCATAGTTTACTCCCAACTCTGGTTGATTTGTGAATACATCTAATCAAATTTTAATGGATTAGTCTAACTGGAGTGAAGGATACGGATGCTTTAGTTCCAATTTTTTTCAAGAAGTATGTTTACTTTATTTTTTCTGTTTTGCTTTTGAAAATTGTTTTTGCACTATCAGTTTGCTACTTTTGAGTACCTTACCATTATGATTGTTTCAATTAAGAAAGTTTTGGGTACTACATTTTCCATCTATTTGATTGTTTTGCATGGGAGCTATCTAAGCATCATCTCAGTTACTCGATGTTTCAAATATTTGCCGCATATATGTGTAATGATGACATTAAATTTTTACTACTGTTATTCTAATTACTTCTTTTGATTTCCGAAGTCTACATGATGGGCTTCAGGTCAGTCGTTCTATATGACTGGGTGATCATTTTATTGTTCTAACAACAAACATTGCAAGGTGCACATTTCGCTCTCTTGAGAATGTAGCTTTCATGGAAGCACATCTTGGAAGATAACTTCTCTACCGCTTCAATATTGATCTGTATATTTACTGAGTTACTTAGACACTTGAAGCAGGTATTTAATTCTGCCTCAATTATTATTAAACATTTTATGTGGTTCTGCTGAAACATTCATGTAACTTGTTTTATCTAGATATACTATATATGCATGAAACATTTAGTGATTATCTGGCCTGATTGCATTGGCTGTTTGATGTTACATCACATTTTTCTTGCTCAATAGGAACTCAGGTTGTTTGGACCATATATTTAACTTCCATGGCTGTGGAAACTTGCAGATTTTGGTTGGTCCTTGCAATGTTATGTTGCCCAGAGCAACCTATATGGTCAAGGAAATCAGAAGCTGTTCAAGGAACTGGTTTTTTTGGAACTATTCGCCGTATGTTATTCTTCTTTTTGAATATTTGGATTTTCTTAGGAAATTTAGGGGGTGACTTGAACTTCAAATTTATGTTCTAATAATAACAAAATTGCCGTATGTTGAATTTCACAATACTACAATTATTGAAGGTCAAGAAGAGAAATGGTAGTTTGGTTATGGATGACTTAAAATAGAAAATTTCTCTAATTCCTTATATAGATGTGATTTTCTGGGGTTATATTTGGTATAGTGGTACTCAGGTTAGAATCTATGATGCTTCCCAGCCCTCAATCACTATGCTGGCTCTAGTGGATTATCTTTCACATCCTGTTCACTAAAAAAAATGCTATTTTTAATTTTAGGAGCTTTTTTCCTAAAATTATGTGATCTGTCTTTTGTTTCCAAGTGAAGGAATTAGTCTATAAACAGTTAGGCTGACTCCTAGTAAGAGTGTCCTTTAAGTGTTGGCTTTTGGCAACTAATAAAATGGAGAGCCTTCCTCCCCCTATCTGCTCTTATTTTCCCAAATGCAATATTGTAAGAAATGTAATAATTAACTACAGAGCAATATGAAACATGATCAAGTTCTAGATCTGGAGCCATTGTTATCTATTGACTATATGAATATCATGCTTGCCTTAAGTGACACTGACTTAATAGTTATTTGGATGATGCAATGATATCCACTAAACTGAGTTAGCTGTCTTGCCTTGGCTTAAGATGGTGACTATGGAATACATTGAAGAGTGTCCTGTGGGAAAGGAAATACTTGGTTTATGTCAATCTGTGTATGAACTAGGCATAAGGCATAATTATTATATGTTTTTTATATGGTCAAATAATTTTATGTTGAGTATCTATTTGATTAGGTGTTCCCCGGCTATTCAACAAACAACAAAGTGAAAGGCAAAAGTTCGAATTGATGTCTAAATTCATGCAACTATTGATTCTGGTATTGGAAAAGCCTAAATTCATGCTACTTTTGATTCTGGTGTTGGAAAAGCGGTGAATTATTGTGGTATGGAGGGTGTGAAGTTGGGGATCTATTTCCTGCTCTATTTTGTTGTGGCTTTTTAGAGCGAATCTGTGTATTTTGGAAGATAAACTGTGTTAAGTAACTGATAATGATATGGATAATGTATAATATATTTTGTAATTAGTCATAATTATAATAATTGATGGGTAAATAGTGTGATTTTGTTTTTTTGTAGCATTCTTTTAATGTTTGCCTAGTAAATCTTTGAATGCAATAGACCATGTCATGGTTTTAACCAATTCAACTTGCCATATTCCTACCAAGTATTGACTTGCTTGTGTGAATAAAATAACTGTAGTTTTTGGTTGAATTCTTCAGTAAGTATTTTTCTGTATGAGGATACACTTTTATAATAATTATTATTATTTTACTTAATTGAGTTGCTTAATTTGATTACTTTTATTGAATTAAAATAATGTTCTGGAAATATCTGGCATAATATTTCTACTAAAAGGTCCCCCTGTTTTAAGGTAACAATTTTTTTTCACTTAAAAATACTTATGTTTTATGGTTTTATATTAAACTGGTTTTATAAAAATTAAATTTAATTGTATTTTTTTGTACAATAGAAATGCAAATATAAAGTTGTAATAGCCTGTGTTTATGACGGTATGTAGAAAAATTGAAAGTAGCCGATTTTGAGCAAAGTTATTTCTGTATTTTGTGGGCTATTTAAAAATTTAGACAAAATGCTTTTGTTCTCACATTTAATAAAATCTTGACCTATTGAGTAACATTGAGAGTCATGATGATGATATTAGTGTTCAATAGCTTACCAGTTATTCTCTAATTGGGTTCAGTAATTGTTGCGCAACCAAAGACTCAAACCATAAAGTCAACTAACAATTTGGGCTATAAGCTAAAGATATAAAGCCAATTGGGCATAGACTACGTTGTTATCATTTTTTTATAACTCTAAAAAACGGGTTAATGTTTAGTAAGTTTGTCATGTAAATTACTGTAAGATCAATTAGTTTCTCTGTTGCACATAGTCCAATTTTGACTTGTACATAACTGTCCTAACCTTTTGACAAAACCTTCAAAATGAGAGTATTAGAACATTTCATTATTTGTAAATTTCTTATGTTTTTGCTCAGTTATAATATTATGGGGATAAATAATTAAAACCCACTAACAAATCAACCACACTGCCATATTTTATAATGAGAAGTTGAGTTAGTTAATGATTATAGCACACATTTTATCAAATTTACTAATTCTTCTCTTGATGCATAGAATATGCAAATTCTTTTTGCTACAGTATGATCACAGAAGCATATGTATTCTTTAAATAAACCTTAATTCTACCCATTCAACCTTAATAATTTCATCGTATCATTCAGTTCCAAAAACATAATAATAATGAGAGTTACCTATCTTACCATAATGAAAAACAAAAAACATATTGTTCAACAATTGAGTCACCCCAAGTGCACATAATTGAATCTTACTCGTCTTTTGACTGCCCACTGCCCTAATCTACTAATATAAGCACAAAAAGATCTAATTGACTATTAACCATTTCCAATAGTTTTTTTCCACCAAAACTTCATGTCAAGTGCCAGTGCAAGCTGCTTCCAACTGCACCCAGGTTATTGGATGAATGCTTGAAAACTCACCTGGGACGTCAAAAATAATTCATTCCAAATACACCTAATATTTTGCTCTGCGGCAAAGTCTTCTCAATCGAACCCTTTCCTGGTAATTATAAATATAACATTAAAGACTTGTAAATTACATATAGAGACGTTAAAACATCCAATTGAAGAAATGCTATGCACCTCACTGTTGTCATGATCATATCTTATTAAGATGAGACACCTGCAACCTCTAATATCATGCATTCTCCTTTGGATCTCTACAATCTGAGCATCAAAGTAAATTGCTTGATCTCTCCTCTCCTAAATTGCAATTGGAACTGTTAGGTTAAATACAGTTACAGTGATGCACTGTAACAAAACTTAAGCAAGGAAATTCAGCCTAATTCACCTGGAAGCATAGGACAGAGTCTCCAACATTTAGGTTCGAACACTCTGTGTTTTCCAATGGGATAGAGCGTTGGCGGACTGAACTTTTAATATTGATCCACTCATCTTCCTCAGCTCCAAATCCAACAAATCTGACATGAACTTCCTTTAACAAAGGGCAAGAGTGTCTCAGATGAAAAAATCTAGTAACTTTTATGGGGAAAACAAATTATCAATTCATTAACAAGTCTTGTAACACAAAGGTATCAACATCATGATTGTTAAAACTTACAGCTTCTCCTGTGCTAAGAAATCTGTGAGCAAGAAATGCCTCAACATCATACCTGCAATTAAACAGTATTTAGAAATACAAAATTGATCAGAACAGTTATGCTTAGTATAATGTGCTTCTATCTTACAATTGACAGCTGATCAGTAAAATTTATGAGAATCAGTACTTATTTTTTCAAAAATAGAAAGTTAAAAAGAAAGATGGACAAGTACAGGTCAACCAATAGGAAAAAAATATACCACTCAGAATATTTCAGCAGGAAGGAATAATAGAGACCAAGTCTCAGGATTAACAAGTTAACCATTATAGTATTATGGCATAGATGGTTAAACTTCTAAATATCCTTCCCTAGAAGAATGAAAAAAACAGCTAGCTTAGAATTTCAGCAGGTACAAAAACCAACATAACCATCTAGTTTGTTTGTGTGAAAAAACATCATTTAAATAATCTACCTGGATACATCCACAAGCAACCACATAACTGAATCTTTATTAAAAAGAGAGAAAACAATTGTATTAGAACTTAGAATAAGGTCTATAATAGGATTATATAGATACAAGAGCCTCCTGAATTTTAAGAATATCTCTACAAGGGAACTCCAACACAAGTTCTATCTTCAGAATACAATAGAATGGAGCAAATGCAAAAAGAAAGACGTGGACAAGTTCAGCCAAACAGAATGTGTCTTTCCATGTTAATGATAATGCAATAATTAATTAATAATAAGATAACCTGAAAGAGATATCTACGCCGATATTTAAATTACTTTTTCCATTCCACTATCACTAGGATGTAAATCTGATCTTAGATGAACTAGAGGTATATTCCATAATTGAAGACTTGAAACAACATTTCTACCAACATGGAATGCAGGTCAATGGGACACATATATGATCAATATCAACAATTGAAGGACCTCCAAAATAACAATGTCAATAAGCATTATAATTCACATGTGGGTTTATAATGGTGGGCATGAAGATTTCTTGAATGCTTCTGAAAGGTTATATAAGGAAACTTTCATTCAGTGACATTAAAAGTACATCATAAACACAGATCGCTAAGATAATTTGAGCTAACTGCAATAATCTCCATGTGCTTACCATGCCCCGTCTTTTGATGATTTTGCTTCAAATTCCAACTCTGATGGATCTTGCATAACATCTACTGAAAAACAATCAGTTCAGACACAATCTCATCAGATAAACACATTTAATCAGGACTTTCCTCAGATATATCAATAAATAAAAGTCTAGCAGTTAATTATACCAAAAAGGGGAAACAAAATAGAAAGTGAAAAAGGTTTTCTGAAGGGAATTTATTATCACTTTCATTTTCATATTTTGTTCAACCAAACATATCCAAATAAAATAAAGCAGCATAAAAGCCATAACTTACGCAGCTGCAATTATATTAAATAATTCAATGTTGATGATTATTTGAATACTTGAAGACTGCATAGACACCATAGACATCAACCATAAGATAGATAACCTATCATAACTCAATCTGTGATGACACATGCTACAATTATACTAAATAATATAATTTTGATCATAAGAATGCTTGAAGGTAGCATAACTACTGACTATGACAAGAACCATAAGGCCCATCAGAAAACTCACCTTCCTTACATTTAGGAACCATCAACTCACTGTTAGGGACTTGTGGTAAGTCTTGGAGCTTTGCCTGAAACCAACCTTCAATCTAGAATTTTCCCCCAAAATAAAGGATTAATGAAAAAACTACTTTAGAAAAGAACAAAAATAAACAATATCTGAATACAACTGCAGTATTTGAAGGATATGTACAGGACATTAAGTAAATTAAATAAGAGTTAGTAAAAAAGAGCATTAACCTCTGTCCATTTGATCACAGGCTTCCCTGCACGACCAGTGGAACGACTGCAACACTCAAACACTCCTCAATGACAATAATTCATTTATTACTAGAAAATAATCCAAAATCATTAATAAGTACAACTCACTTGAAACTTCCAGCCAGTTTTTGGTAAAATTCTCTGCCCCATGTTACTCCTTTAGGTTCATTCAAGAAATTTTTCATTTTCTCAATCTGTTTGTCAGAGCAAAGCAAGTTCAAATCATTAGCAGGACATGTAAAAACACACCCTCTACATTCTACAACCAGGTTTTGGAAAAGAGATCTGCAATAAAGGTTTTTAGACTGTTCACAACTGTAACATGTTCGTAGTTATGGTTGTCTCTTACAAGGTATCAGTTTACTACTCACTAACTTCATACAAATTAAGACATGCATGACATTTTTGAAGAAAAAACCCTGAACTACAAACTTTATAGTTATAGTCATACTAAACTAATTCCATACAGACTCAAATGAACATAATTAAAGCACTTGAAAACTGTTCATTTTTTAGGAAAGACAGAAAATAAGTCCAAGAGAAAGATATAACACTTATAGTCATTTATAACTATAATATTATAATAATACCTCTGCATTTGTAAATCCAGAAAAAACCTCTCGGTTCCGAGGACGCAAGCGGTCCATGAACTCAAATTCGTCCCTTTCAATGAAAAATCAATTTTCTATTGATTAAATTTCTCGGCTAGGAACCAAAGTGAAACCCTAAGAACTTTTCTCTCTCTTTTTAGTTTGGGGAAAATGAGTTTCAGTGATTTCTTCTTATTTAAAGAAGGGGAAACGACAGTATATTTTTTAAATAAAATAATAACAATTACAAAAAATATTAATGTTTTTAATTCATTATATTATTAAAAAAAATAAGTGATTTAAAATATGTTGTACGAAATCAGAATGTAATTAATTTTAGTATTTAGACAGTTTTTTTATTTATTTTTTTATAAATGTAAAATAAGAATATATGAAATGCATATTTAGAAAATCTTCTAGATAATAAATAAATATAATTATTATTAGAAAATGGTGAATTTGAAATTGTTTCAATATATCTTATAATAAATGTGTTTATTTTTATATTATTAAATTTTATATTAAATAAATATTTCCAAATATATAAGATGTATTTTTAATTTAAATAAGTATTTTTAGTACATACATACATATATATATATATATATATATATATATATATATATATGTTGTACTTAAAATTTAGAAATATTAAAAAAAATAGTTTGTAATGGATACATTATTCAAAAATATTAAAGATTAAGAATATGAACTAAAATGAATTGAATTCTTTTTAGATAATATTTTTACTGAAAAAAATCGTTGAGTCTTAATATAAGCATCTTTGAATATCTATACCCTATCTTAACTTCAGATTGCATTCAAAGGGTTTCTTGTGTTGAGAGATTTCATAGAAGGCCTAGTTGTTCTAGATCATCCTAATCCTAAATATA